TTTATGACATATTTTTATAATTAACGTAAATGTATTGAATAAATGGTTAAAAAAAGTTGATTATTGTTATTATTTTATCATTTAAGAAAAAATATCCTTTTCCTTATTCTACAATATCCAAGATGAACTAAGAACTGTTTGTTCATTAATTATTGATAATCAAAGAATAAGAAAATTACAGGATCTTCCGTAAGAGTTCATGTTGAATTAGTTTATTAAAGGAGTCATCGAAAATGTCATGCTCTTCCGAGTTTGTACTGTTTTCAGTAAACAAAATTAATCATTTCAATAGATCAAAAACACAAATCAGGAAATTTTAATAACACGCCCCTAAATGCCCTGGTCATTTCCAAGTTACAAACTTGGACAACAAAGTTCTAATACAGCTTTTTGTTTAAACTTTGCAGAAAGAAGTACTCGTTGTTTTAACCATATAGAATATGCATGTATGCTGACAAACTTATTCCTTATTTCTTACTTGACTTGACCATTTTTTCATTATGTTAACACGCGCCTGCTTTATGCAATGATTTAAATTATGTAATTATGCAATTCTTATGCAGATTTATCAGAAATTATTGAAAATAGTGTCTCTATTTGCGTATTGTCTTCTTTTCCTTATTCGGAGTTGAAAAGGAACAAGGAACTGGTTCCCTATTCCTTATTCGACTTTAACATTTTTTCTCAAAAAAGTATGTAGATGCTTTATTTCATGATTTTAATGATTGATCCATGCATTTCTAATGCAGATTTATCAAAAATAATTGCAACTGCTGTCTTTCTTTACCTAATTACTTCTGTTCCTTATTCGGCGTCGAATGAACCTGAACATTTTTTTCCCATCATACTTTTTATGCAGATGCATTATTTCATGATTTTAATGATTGATCCTTGCAATTCTTATGCAGAGTTATCAAAAATAACTGCAACTGCTGTCTTTCTTTTCGTAATAACTTCTGTTCCTTATTCGGAGTCGAATGAACCTGAACATTTTTTTACAAAATATTTTTATGCTTATGCTTTATTTCATGATTTTTATGATTTATCCTTACAATTCTAATGCAGATTTATCATGAATAACTGCAACTTTTGTCTTTCTTTACGTAATTTCTTCTGTTCCTTATTCGGAGTTGAATAAGGAATAAGGAACTGGCTCCCTATTCCTTATTCGACTTTAACATTTTTTTCAAAAAAAATTATGAAGATTCTTTATGAAATGATTTTAATGATTGATTCTTGCAATTCTTATGCATATTTATAAAAAATAAATGCCACTGGTGTCTTTCGGAGTCGAATGAACCTGAACATTTTTTTCCAAAATATTTTTATGCTAATGCTTTATTTCATGATTTTTATGATTGATCCTTGCAATTATAATGCAGATTTATAAAAAATAACTGCAACTGGTGTCTTTCTTTACGTAATTTCTTCTGTTCCTTATTCGGAGTTGAATAAGGAATAAGGAACTGGTTCCCTATTCCTTATTCGACTTTAACATTTTTTTCAAAAAAAATTATGAAGATGCTTTATGAAATGATTTTAATGATTGATTCTTGCAATTCTTATGCATATTTATCAAAAATAAATGCCACTGGTGTCTTTCTTTACGTATTTCCTTCTGTTCCTTATTCGGAGTTGAATAAGGAATAAGGAACTGGTTCCCTATTCCTTATTCGACTTTAACATTTTTTTCAAAAAGAAATTATGTAAATGCTTTATTTCATGATTTTAATGATTGATCCTTGCCATCCTTATGCAGATTGATCAAAAATAACTGCAACTGGTGTCTTTCTTTACATATTTTCTTCTGTTCCTTATTCGGAGTTGAATAAGGAATAAGGAACTGGTTCCCTATTCCTTATTCGACTTTAACATTTAAAAAAAAAAATATGTAGATGCTTTATTTCATGATTTTAATGATTGATCCTTGCAATTCTTATGCAGATTTATCAAAAATAACAGCAACTGCTGTCTTTCTTTACGTAATTACTTCTGTTCCTTATTCGGAGTCGAATGAACCTGAACATTTTTTTTTCATAAATACTTTTTATGCAGATGTTTTATTTCATGATTTTTATTATTGATCCTTGCAATTATAATGCAGATTTATAAAAAAAAATAACTGCAACTGGTGTCTTTCTTTACGTAATTCTTTCTGTTCCTTATTCGGAGTCGAATGAACCTGAACATTTTTTTTTCCAAAATATTTTTATGCTAATGCTTTATTTCATGATTTTTATGATTGATCCTTGCAATTATAATGCAGATTTATCAAAAATAACTGCAACTGGTGTCTTTCTTTACGTAATTTCTTCTGTTCCTTATTCGGAGTTGAATAAGGAATAAGGAACTGGTTCCCTATTCCTTATTCGACTTTAACATTTTTTTCAAAAAAAATTATGTAGATGCTTTATTTCATGGTTTTAATGATTGATCCTTGCAATTCTAATGCAGATTTATCAATAATAATTGCAACTGCTGTCTTTCTTTACGTAATTCTTTCTGTTCCTTATTCGGAGTCGAATGAACCTGAACATTTTTTTCCAAAATATTTTTATGCTAATGCTTTATTTCATGATTTTTATGATTGATCCTTGCAATTATAATGCAGATTTATCAAAAATAACTGCAACTGGTGTCTTTCTTTACGTAATTTCTTCTGTTCCTTATTCGGAGTTGAATAAGGAATAAGGAACTGGTTCCCTATTCCTTATTCGACTTTAACATTTTTTTCAAAAAAAATTATGTAGATGCTTTATTTCATGGTTTTAATGATTGATCCTTGCAATTCTAATGCAGATTTATCAATAATAATTGCAACTGCTGTCTTTCTTTACGTAATTCTTTCTGTTCCTTATTCGGAGTCGAATGAACCTGAACATTTTTTTTCCAAAATATTTTTATGCTAATGCTTTATTTCATGATTTTTATGATTGATCCTTGCAATTATAATGCAGATTTATCAAAAATAGCTGCAACTGGTGTTTTTCTTTACGTAATTCCTTCTGTTCCTTATTCGGAGTTGAATAAGGAATAAGGAACTGGTTCCCTATTCCTTATTCGATTTTTTTTTCAAAAAAAATTATGAAGATGCTTTTTGAAATGATTTCAATGATAGATTCTTGCAATTCTAATGCATATTTATCAAAAATAAATGACACTGGTGTCTTTCTTTACGTATGTCCTTCTGTTCCTTATTCGGAGTTGAATAAGGAATAAGGAACTGGTTCCCTATTCCTTATTCGACTTTAACATTTTTTTCAAAAAGAAATTATGTAAATGCTTTATTTCATGATTTTAATGATTGATTCTTGCAATTTTAATGCAGATTTATCAAACATAATTGCAACTAGTGTCTTCCTTTACGTATTTTCTTCTGTTCCTTATTCGGAGTTGAATAAGGAATAAGGAACTTGTTCCCTATTCCTTATTCGACTTTAACATTTTTTTCAAAAATATTTTTATGCAGATGCTTTATTTCATGATTTTTATGATTGATCCTTGCAATTCTAATGCAGATTTATCAAAAATAATTGCAACTGGTGTCTTTTCTTTACGTATTTACTTCTGTTCCTTATTCGGAGATGAATAAGGAATAAGGAACTGGTTCCCTATTCCTTATTCGATTTTTTTTCAAAATAATTTATGCAGATTCTTTATGCAATGATTTGAATGAGGTATAAATTTTATTTTAAATAAATACTAATTCTGCTGTTCCTTATTTAGATTTGAATAAGGAATCAGGAACTAGTTCCCTATTCCTTATTCGAAAAAGGAATAAGGAACTGATTCCTTATTCCTTATTCGAAAAAGGAATAAGGAATAAGGAATAGGGAACTAACTTTATGTACATCGATTATTTTACATTCAAAACAGTTTCCTTACATCTTTTTGAGATTTATCAACAAAAACATGAAAAAGCACACGTAATTCTGTACTTTAATTCAGTTTACGTTGCTATGGAGCGTCAGACATGTTGTATTTTTCTCGCACGAATCTGCTCAATAAAGCGGTTTTAAACTGTTGATTTGTGTTTTCATTGTTCTTATATTGAAGGATTTTCCACTTCAAAAATTCGTATAAGCTAACCGTTTACTGAATATCATTTAATATCATTGTTAAAAAATGTTCAAATCAGAAAACTTAAAATGATCAATATTTTTGGCGATTTGACATAAATTGAAGCAATCCAATTAAAATGTCAATAAAATTTAACTTTCAACATTATCAATTTAGCCGTTTTGGGCGATCGTCTCTTAATCTAAAACAAGTTATCATGCCACCATGAGTGTTTCTTGTTTTTTATATGATATTAATTGAGATTCATGATAACGACCACATGACTTAATTTAAACATGCAATCGAATCTGGTGATATAATTACAAAAAAAACAAAAAACAAAAAAAACAACAAAAAAACAAAAAAGTCACAGGACAAATAAATGTAACATCTTGTACAACATTTCTGTATTTTGTTTTGTTTTTTTCCCTTTAAATATCAAAGGCGCTTGTATCTGTGGCCTTTTAAATTCAAACAAATCATGAGTTTCCATTTTTTAATTAATCATGAAGATAATATTATTTTGCACATGCGTGTTATCAATATATATTTTGAAAAAAATAGGGTATGCATTTATTCAACAAGAAAGGTAATGATGTGTCACACACTTGACTGAGATAGTTAGAGGATAACTGCTTTTTCACTGAAAGATCAAAAGACTTTCACAGAGTGAAAATAAGATGCAATGAATTTACGAAGTCATGGGCTTATTTTTACAAATAAAGCATAATTTGATATCATTTTCTACACATTTAATGATTTTACAGTGATTTAATGCATTTTTACGCATTCATGCCGTGCTGTCAAACTTTCATGACGTCACAATGTTAAAAAATAATTTAATGAATTTTTCGAATTTTATTGCAGTATAACATCTTATTTAAAAAAAAAAATAAAAAAAATATTCACAGTAAATTTTACTTAAAATTGTTTTTCTTGAAATATATTGGCTTATCTTGAGGCAAGCAGTTTTAACGAATACATTTAATAACATACTACTTTGTAATTCCTTTTCAGATGAAAAGTTTGAACCAAGCAAATCACGGTGTTTTGTGTCAAAAGAGCCATTCTTGTCATCAATAGTATCCTTTTTAAAAAAAAGTATGTCTACCTATGTGGTCTATATGGTGGATTATAGAATACATATGCTTCACTTTATTGAACACACTTTTATTTTATAAAGTAATATATCAAAGAATTAGTTCCATTGTCAAACAGTCAAGCCATATTTTAGATACCACTCAATGAAGTTTAAAGTGACATTATTCCCGTTTAAGGTACCGGTATAAAGTGAGGGAACATTGCAAGTCAAAATAAGTTTACATTTGCTTTAATTCCTATACTTGGCATGAACGACTCACCTGGCCTAAGGGAATTTCTGTAAATATACTTCGGAATTTACCTGTAATGTTCAATTTAAGGGTTTGGTTTCTTTTTACATCTTAGGCAGATTTATATTTTACGTTATCACTTTCCAATTATCATCAACTGTTTGTCAATCACCATTATAACATTTGTCTTTTGAAATAAGTAATCTATTCAGCTTAATATCAACATAATTACACAATATACAAAAGGGTTGTGCCAAAAGGTTTTGAAACAAAGCCATTGCCTGTAAATGTTTAACATCAGTTTCCTAAAGAAAACTGATCATGTTTGTTATTCATTTTGTTCAAACGCGCTACGATATTCAATATCATTACTATGTTCACATTTTTCGGAATGAATTATCAAACTTTTTTAATAAATCTTTATTTCACTAAATATGACAAATTCAATTATGTTTTAAGTAACATTTCAATCCTTCATTGATAATCAAAGAATGTACAGAAGAATGGAAGTGAGGCACCTATTTATAGCTATAACTCTCTGGTGCATCGGACTTGATGTCAAATTACTCATATGTAAGTATCACCCCTCTATTTTGTTCTCCAGAATTTCATCTTCATAGTCTTCAGCAAGGTAAAGTTTTCTTAAAACCTAAAAAAATGTGATCAATGTTCACATATTAACCTAAATATTTTGTAAAAAGTAATAAATATGTTTAATGTATCAAAAAAGGTTTAATTTTTTTTATCAGTCATTTACTCCCAGTGGCTGCTTTTAAATTGTACCATATGACCGTCCAATATCACTCCCTACATACACCAGCACCACCTATGCCTCAAATATTTTTTTTTTATTATTTCTAAAAATATATTTATATTTGTTATCTTGTTACAGTTTCCAAAGTATTTTGCTCCTATTGCTCTCTTGGTAATTGGTAAAATTATATTTAATAAGTATTATGTATGGAAGACAAAATTGCTGCTTTGTTTATACATTTTTCTACATTTATGAAATTTTATGTAACATAACCGAATGTTCACCAATACCTCTTAATAAATAATATTAAAATATTTTAAACAAAAGTTTGACATATTTAAAAAAGTGCTACCAAAATAACCTCGGGTTCGATATATCTAAGATTAAGTATAAACTTCGACATCTTTTTATTATTTGAACCGATGACTTTAAATTATAATACATAATCACACAATTAACACGAAACTTTGCTTTACTTTTGTCAGATTTTCTCCTAAAACAAGTTTTTATAAAAAAAGTAAGTATTTCAATCAAACGGAAAGCTGCACATCGTCGACAATAACTCAGCCGACTTCCAGTTCAGACTAAATGGAAGAGTTATCTTGATTTTAGCTTAAATAAATAACAAAAATGTTCACAAGATCACAAGTTATATATCTGACAAATTTATATCTAGTGCTTCCAAAACAAAAGTTGCGCAGTACAATGATGAAATTATTCCATCGTTCGATTAAGTCCCCGAATTTGTTGAAAATAACCAGGTTATAACTTAAAAGTATAAATTTAAAGAAAAACCAAAACAAATTGAAGCACATACTTTGTAATGCAAATACTATCGCCATGACCTTTTCCCGGAAGTCACTACTGCTCATTTTACACTGTCGTCTTTAAGGAGGTAGAGCGGGTGTATATATTTACATATTGGACGCTGTAAATTTACCCGAATGAGCTATGGGGGAGTCTATAACAAATATAATCATAATAACAATAGGTCGCATTTTGAATTCCTTTACTTTAATTTAGATAAAGAATAAAATGGTTATCAAACATTTAATGTACAATGCGGGCACATATTTGGAATCATAGACAGCTTAAGAGATCATATTACTAGTACTTGTCCAAACGAATTCCTATATTATACAGTTTTATATAACATTATTATTTATTTTTATATTATTTATTACTTCAATTTTGTGTTTTTTTATTTAAGAAGGTTTGGAAAGTATATTTCTTTTGTTTATTTTCTTAAAATGAAAATTGTCGCGTTTTTATTTATCTTTGGGCGGAGTTTGAGTTATTAGATTTATAAGTGTTACACACGTACATGCTTGTACATGAAAATGATCAAGACACAATAACAATATGTAGAACATTTTATTATTTTTTCTTTGTAGATAAACCAAACGTAGAAAATACTAAGCATCTTACGTTAGCAGTAAGGAAAATTATAGAGGTATGTAGTTCTTTGAAAATATTTTATGAAGACGAGCGTAAAATGGCACGTGTAACTTCTCTAAGCGTTCCCGATTATATTTTCATTCATTCAATAAGTCGTATTTGAACAACTGACGATCTGCTTCCTGTCAAATGTGAACACATGGAAGAAATATGAGCATGGCTCGGATCCACTATCCATGCGAAGAGAGGCAGACATGTTATCCACACTGCACTGCTCATTGAAATAACTTCCGCGAACAGGTCAAGATTCGAAAATACTTGAATGCAAAGTAATTAATATGACATTTAGAGAGATAAAAACATCTTTTAGGAACGAACACAAATTTAATACAAAGTAAACTTCTATAATCATTCAAATAAATATTCAATAAATATATAGGAACTAATGTAGAACAGGGCTACCCAAAGAGACCAAAACCATTTTTATTATTAAAACCTTTCAGTATAGGATATAAAACTTGAAAAGGAACACATTACCTGTGTTTTTAAATTGTTTTGGTAAATGCATCAGAATTAACGCCTTTCCGTTCTACTTGATTTTTAAAATATTTTATTTTAAATGATGCAAGGAGCTTGACCATAGAGATATATATAAGATTTCATCCCAAAAACAACTCATCATAGCCCTGTTTCATACTCTGTGGCATTCATTCTTGTCATCTGTTTTTGAGGATTTCCTTTTTAAAAAGTGTTCATGTAAATTATCTCCATCAACATATTTGTAAACGTAAACATTGTTTCAATTGCAGATGAAATCTAAAGTGAACTATCGTGTTATAGAGGAGAGAAACTTGCAAAGGCTTGAACATTTAAAAACATCTTGCCAGAGATTAGGTTACTTAGGGGATTATTCTAATGGATTACTGTCATCAGTCATCTCAAGTATCAGAGCACATATATCACCCAACCTAAACGTTATGTTTTGTCGTGTCAATAAATGTGGCTCTACTTTAGCGTTAGAAGTGATGAACCGCGTGTTCAACTGTGATACAGACTGCCTCGTTGACATGGCAAGGAATGTCAAAAGCACTAAAGAACTAGCGAGAAAAGTATTCGAAAATGTATTTTCATTTCTAATCGTTCGTGAGCCGTATGGAAGATTATTTTCATCGTACGGAAATTTGTTTTACTTACCGAAAGAAGATTGGCTGTCAAGGGCTGTTAAAATAATCAAACAGGTTAGGAAAAATCCTACAAAAGAGTCCCTAGAGTTCGGCCATGATATGACTTTTTTCGAACTTATAAGATATATAGTTCATAATTATGAAAATGGAACTTATATTGATCCGCATGTACGTCCAATGCATCACGCATCATGTAACCCATGTGCATACCGATTTAGTTTTCTAGCTAAGATAGAAACGTTAACATCAGATTTAGAATATTTGCTAAATGACTGGTATACAAAGCATATTATTGATAAATACCCATCGTCCTTAATCAATGATGTCAAAGAATGGACCACGTGGGGACCTTTGAAGCATTTTTACACGACACTTAATCTGACAGTGAATTCTAGTATTCCCGTGCAAACTATGTACACTAGAACTTGGACTTACTATCAAATGAAAGGGCTTGTGTCTAAAAAGATTGACATTCCATTTAGACAGTCGGAACTTTGGTACGTAGATTTCAATATCTTTCGCAGAGTTTTGAGAAACGCGATACAGCTATCCCAAGCAGACAAAAAAGGAGTTGAAAACCAGAGAAGAGAAGCTATGCTACAGGCGTATTCAACTGTTCCCATGGAATATATGGAAAGGCTGGTACACGTTTTGCGAGATGACTGCATTTTGTTTGGATACGACGAAAGACCGGCTTCTCTTTTTGACAGATCAAAACAAGATCATGTAGATTTTGACTATTTTAAAGGAATACAGCAAGAAAAACGTGAAACATAGGACCAGAAAAGGTCATCATGATAGGTTTTACATAGTATGAGCCTCAAAAATGAAGAATTGCGGAGCAATGTAATAATCAATACGTTTCATAACAGAGTAAATACCATGATGTTAGTCATAATTATGTATTATATATTCATAAAAGGTCAATATTATCCAAAAAAGGAAGACCCGTGCAAAAGGACATAAAAATACGTGAATGTCAAAGTTTGTCTCTGTTAGTCACATATAACGTGCATTATATAAAATAAAAAAAACGTGACCATCTTAATTAGTTTTATAATACTGATCTTGAAATAGCTAATATGCCACCACTGAAGGGCGCCTATCTGAGAACAAAGAAACTGCTTTAGCATCGGTTTGACAGACGGTAGTGGTTGAACCGAAAATCTTTTTTGTCTTCGCATCTATGAATACTTCCAGACATACATGATTCAGTATTTTGGCAGTATGATCCTTATATGTGCATCATGTATATAGATTCAAGATATACGTTAGAAAACTTTATTGCATGTAAGAAGGGAATGAAAGATTTACAAATTTTATACATTTTCCTGCCAATTTCAACATTCAAGTGACATGCTTCTAAGGTACCTTAACTATCCAATTGAAAAATTATACAATGCAGTCAATAGTATCATTTATAATTTGTAACCAAATCTGCATTTGTCTGAAAAATGTGGCATATTATTTAAGATAATTAACAAAATACTGAGTAATGGGAGATCACTCGACAATTTTAAATATGTAACGAACATTGCAGACTAGGTTTGGTTAGTTCTGTTCATGAGAGGAAAAAACAAATCTTTTGCCCAGAGGACTGGCGGCAGAAGTACAGTAATGAAATAAAGTCAATTTTCTCCATTTCATTTTTATTGTGTTACATAAATAAAATGTGTATGCTATCGTATAAATAGTATATCCATATATGTTTGTATTATTCTTGTGTTTACGTTAAAATAGCTGTTAATTGTTGAATATATTATTTGTTTTGTTGTTAGTAATTAAAACATTATCAATTCTATCATACGAGTGTTGATATATTTGTGTGTATAATTTAAGTGCATTTTTCCCATTACAAAGACTATCTTCACGTTTATTTCTTTGTAGCGCACTTAATTACATTTTCTTAAAAACTATTATTATAAGTCTTCAACTTTATAACTAATTGTTATAGGTGCACGTCTAGCTATTTACATTCTTGCAGTGACCATCCGAGAAACAAGGAAACGGTGATTCCAATCTAATATCGCACAGTGCCAGGCATGTTTCGCCTATTAACCAACTTACGAGCTACGGTGCAAACCATCCATTGCAACAAAACCGAAGTGTTTTATTTGAAAGTAAATAAGTGGTCTCAGTCATTAACCTTCGATCTATTTATAAATATCCCATAGCCAATAACGGAAATATTTTGTAAGGGAAAATTATATATTTTTACTATTGAATTATAAAACCTGCCAAACACTTGCAAAAAACATAACTGAAGGTATGCAAATATAATACAAATATCACCCAAAGCTTACACACAAAGTAAGCAAACCCTCTCCAGCTAAAGTATAGTAACACAAAATTTACAAAAGCAATAAATAACAACAACTTCAACAACAACAAATAACATAAACACTAAACGAAAGAAGTAAAAACAGAAAAAAAACAAACAACAAAAAAGACAAAAGAAGAAAAACAAAAACAAACAAAACCAAACAAACGAACAGCAGAAAATAAACACAAACCCACATAAAACCAAGCAAATAATCAAGATAAAACAAAGAACATCATCCCCTCTAACCATTACCGATTTTGGATCCCCTACAAAAAAAGAGTACAAAAGAAACTAATGAAAACCGCCAAGGGAATAAAAGCACACACACATACACGCAACCACGAACACAACCACGAACACAAACACGCACACACGCACGCACACACACACAAACAAAAAATCCTAAAAACCAACAAAAGCACATCAGCGGATTAAGGCAAACAAAGGTGAGGATAAATCCTACAAAAGAGTCTCTAGAGTTCGGTCATGATATGACTTTTTTCGAACTTATATGATAACGAATGTACAAAAGATACATATATTTCTATTCGCACGTTCACGATCGCACGCACACACTTGATGTCTCTACTATACCGGTTTCTTATACGTTGTATGATAAATAAAGCTGGGTTGTTGGCATGTTTGGTGTCACTACAGGTTCTGTGATAGGGAAAATTTGAGGAAAAAGTGAATTTTATCCTTGATATGTCTATGTATGTTTGTTGACATGATCCGCAGCTGTTTTAGCTGAAATACTTGGTTGTTATAATCTTCCTGACAACGAAAATCCTCGTTATCTTTCTCTACACCGCTAAGTATAAAATAATTATACATTTAAATTTAAATAACATAGAGTATATACAGTATGTGAACTAAGAAATGAAATATGTTTAATTCTGGATTGGGTAAGTGAAATTCAATCAATTCAAATGGATATTTAACGAAGTTTAATTGTTAGAGTTGGGTTTTATTACATAACATTGTGAAAATATCACGGATATGTTTTGTGTTTGCGCGAAACGCGATGGAATTAGAATAAATAGGTAAGGAAGTAGTATAAATAGGTACGAAATAAGAATTAATAGGTGCGCAATTTGTATATAAATAGTTACACTTTTAGAATTACTTTTTTCCAGTTTTATTTGATTAAAATATTACAATTAGAAAGCATTTTGAGTACATTAAAGTAACCACACCGTCCGTGTTTGACCTTGTATCCTGCCCTACTTTTGTTTGCAGTCCTACTGAACTCCTTGCAAATGGTCCTGTGTTGCTGGGTCGTGTGGGGGTTGCGTTCACTGAACGCCGCCCTTCCTTGGTGATCTTCTTTTTCATATTTTATTCAGTTAATGAATGTTTCATTTGTATCCGACTTAGCTGGAAAACAATCATATAAAATCAAACGTTAAATAAAGTGACAAGTTCACGCTGAAAAGTTAAATGCCAGCTCGGGTGTTTCCAAACGCCGTTTGATTTGTTTCAGTCCTTACATATATTTTAACTTTCTATTGATACCAGTTAATAGACAAATTCAGCACGTACGTCCTCGAATCCTTTGTTGACTGTAAGCAGGGTAGCTTCTAATGTTTATATTTATTGCCTTCATCGCACAACTTGTTCACAATTTAATATTTAAAGTGCTATACATATTCATTCTAGAATGCGATATAAGTATCAAGTCAAACATATTCATAGCACGGATATTTTTGCTCATCCTGAATCGCTCTACTGAAATCTTATCACAGAAGTTGTTTTTATCGTTTGAAACTTTCTTTGTCTTCTATCGATTTGCATTTTTGATATTAATCTTTTTCAAACTTCAAAGAGAATGAGAACAATCAAGAACTTATCTACCCCCATAATGAATAATCTGAAACTTAATTTATTGCCTGTCGTCATTTTGGATATCAGGTGAACCCGCTTCCAATTATAATAAATGTTGTTTTTGATATTGTAATTGTGACGTGTTATGCTCGCGTACCCAAAGGGAAATATTATTGATAATGGAATTTTGGAAATTTCTTGAATTGATAAGTTAATTTAACAGTATTGCTAGTATATGTGTTATAAAATCTGGCAGCCCACAATTTAACTTGTATGGCATACAGCACAGAGGACCTGGTCATCGCTAATTAAGATTTAAATATCTGTTTAACCTGTAATTGACCGGCAGACGATAGCTTACGATTGACCTGGATAATTTTGTTATACAAGATAAATGCATGGTAACTATGATTTACATTTAACACGTTCTTCTATTCATTACAATTAAATTTGTAGAATGTTAATTCATTAATACAGTTTTTGTATCCTATTAAATTACTTCTTTTTATAAACTGTCGAGATTGCGTATTGGCGATATGCATACAAAATAAATATAACTAAAACATAAAAACCAAATATAGGCCACCATATCGTAGAGTATACAAGCACTGATAAACGGCTGTCAGTATTTCATGTCCTCATATCAGTACACCTATCTTGTTAGCCAGTGAGCTTTATTAAAGTTGACCCAAACATCTTATGAAAGTACTTTTCCCAGTATCGTTAAGTCTAATGCAGCACTCCAGGAAGAAACAAATGCAGATGTCGACTGTACTTATATGTATAAAATAAAATGACTTAAGTATAAGATATAAATATAAGATTCACAATGGTCGACTTGTGAATATATCAGTCAATTTGATAAGCCTGTCAGATTTAGAATACCGACCCATATTAATCTGTTAAACCAGATTATTTAGTATAACTCTTGCAATTGGATTGATGTTAAATTTGCATAGGCACAATATCAGTAGTTCAATTCGTCACTGAAAGAAAAAAATTGTAACATAACTACCGAAGTAGCGATTTGAAAAGTGATGTATTTACACTGTTTTTTATAGTAGAAATGAAAGTATGTGGCCTAATTAAATCGATAGAAACCTATCTAAATACCCAGGTCGATCCTTCAGTCAGCGTCATATTTAGAAACAATGATATTTTTGTGTTAAAATTACTATATATAAACTTTGCATAGATGTGTATGCTTCTCTTAAAACGTTTTGTAATTATAAATGTATTTTATTGAACTAATAACCTTACAAACTAACAGTCTTCAAATAAACACATTAAAAGGTTTGTTATGGAAGAAAAATATGTCGGAGAAAAGTCTAAATTATTTAAAAAAAAACACATTTCATTCATTGTATATCTTTTTATTATGGCTCTGAATAAAAATGTAAAATAAAAAAACAACATCAAAAACATTCATTCAATTATTTCATTTGTTTAACAGATGTATAATAATATCAAATAGCCTTAGGTTTAACTTTATTTAACATTATAACAACATTTAGAAGGAAAATTAGACTGGATTGGAAAACATATAAAACTCTTCAGTAAAGGAAAATTGTCAAAAAAAGAAAAAAATGTTGCGGTTAGATGTAAGGTCTTTGAAAAAAAGAATATTTGATTATTGAATTAGAACTATAGAGAGATGACTGAGGCAACTTATGGAGAAATTTATTTTAAAGGAAGTTATGAAAACTAACGACATACTAATTTCTAAATGTACCTTAATACTGGTATCTGAGGTCACCCAAACACATATGGAAATGTGTCATGAACAATTAACTTGCTAATGATCGGATCGCAAATTTCATCTGTATTTCGTTAATGGTTTGTAAGTATATAACACATAATATTGACTTTCCTTGGGATAGAATTTGAAAACATTATCTTGACTAATTCCGAATTTGACAACCAATCATTTGAAAACTATGTAATGGTGTTTTTGTCCCCTTTATCTATTCAAGGCTTATGTCCGTTTGCTTCTCTTGCCACTTTTTCGGTAGATCTGCAAATGATCAATGTCATAACTCGATAAAACATATACTATAAAGTTATACAGTATTTCTTAGCAAAAAGAAATTGTTAACTATGAATACTATCACTTAGGGACACAAAAACAAACATATCAACATTGATAAATATCTTTTTTATAAATGGCCCAAACTAATGATAACCGAGAAGACAAAATAAAAAATGTGCTTATTGAAAATCTTGTTTATTGCTCGGAACATGCAAAGATTAGTACCCCTTGTCCTTTGCAGGCATATGAAGCAATGATACTTCAAATGAGAAATTTATATTTCAAATACGTTAATTTGATCATATAATCATATAACAGTTCAATTTATCGCCAGTACCTTATCTAGGCAAAAAAGGATAAAATGTGAATATATTTAAACATCAGAGGCGACATTTTAAGGTATTTGGCCCTTTTTTTTTATCAATAAGCTAAACTTGCACGTTATGTTTGCTTGCAATTTATATTTTAGTTTACTTCTTTTTTGTAGTAACGTGCGTGGTAGTTTTAACAGTCCTTGCAATACATGGTAAGTATATTTTTAATTGTTATGCTTAGAACGTCTACATAAGTGATACAATAGAATGGTCAAAAAATCGCCAAAAATGGCATAATTGAAAATTGCAGGTTAGGTTTGAATACGGACGGTAAAAGGTAAATGCATGCTTTTATCTAGTTCTTATAAATTTTAAACTACATAAATTTAGATATTGAAATTAAAATTTTACACATTCACTGATAAGAATAAAAGGAACTTCATATGTTATGTATGTATAAAAAACTGCTACCTTTTGGTTTTTATGTCCAGGATTTTGAACATATTATTCTTATCAAGCAAATGGATTTATTTGTTTGCTCGGTTTGATTAAGCTTGATAATGGTAATTACAAGCTATCTTCCACACCGCCTAACACAGGCTTAAGTAGAATTCAACATTTAACATGAACTGGTAAAAGTTTGAATTTTTAAACATCCGCATTTGTGTTCAAATGGAAGAGAGAATGTAAATTTTCAATTTGTTCTCATGAACACGCTCAATAAAACCAGTTCTACGATTCTTACTATTCATTGCTTTTTCCCTTTATGTACATTGCTCTAAGGGGATCTCCCAGTTCCAGAAATTTGATTTTGACGAATATTATTTGTATAAAAAATTATAACTTTCAGTGAGTGGCCAAAATGTCCTAAAATGTATGTCATGTAATAAAGCCGCACATTTCACGCATTGTGAGGACATGGTAAAATGTGACCCAGATATAGAGGTAAATCTCTTGAATATTTATCTTTGAAATATGTATCTCACTTTGATTTATACTGCTTTTGTACACATTTTTTCTAAGAACAATTTGTCAGTTAAATCTCTATTTGAAAAGTTTTTTTTAATATAATTTAAATACCATGTCATGTGATTTATTTTAAATATCTTTTATATATTTAGCATTGCATACTCTTTTCTGTTTATTGCTTTTAGGTTTATAAAAAGTATGTTCTGTTTTATAAAACATTCACGTTTTGTAGACAATCAATGTCCTGTTAAATGTACATGCACTACATATTTTCCTAATCCTTTCATTTAAACTTATTATAGGTGTGTTATGTAGAAGAAGAAATAGATGTCGGAGGGGAAACTGTAGTGAACGCTGGATGCCGAGAAAAAACGGTCAGTCAATTAAGTCTTGTCACTAGATTAAATGTACCTTGAAAAATTTTACAAAGTTAGAATATTGATTTCTTTAAAATACAAAATAAAATGCATTTTCAAAATGAATCAGATTATCATAAATTGGTTGGTATATATTTTCAAAATCTTATTTTATTAATAAGGACAATGTAGTCATCAAAGCAACACACACTACACTGTACCTGTCTTATTAAATATTTGATTATTTCCCTATCAATTAAGATTTATAAGATACACACGAACATATAACAATAGGAGGAAGGCAATGTTTTAAACATATTATTACCTAAAAAAATACCACTATTTACACTATTTGAAGCTAGAAATAACTCACTTCAGTCGTGTGACGCTGTTGGCTGCTTTGGCGACATATACAAGATAAGCAAAAGGAGCACGAATCAAACATCAGTTGGGACAAACACTGGACAGCTTGATAGAGATATCATATGTCATCATTGTTGTGACGGTGATTTCTGTAATATGTATGGATGTCCCGATTCATGTAAGTAGACAAGGTGAAGATTTCGCTCAGACCTTATTAAACCGACATACTGTAAATTATATTAGAATTCAACACATGAAATAATTTTAAATCTGATGTGGGAGTTGAACCTCTTAGCAATACGTTACACGTGTATGAAAGTCAGTAACCATTCAACAACGGGCATCCATCATAAAACCACATACAATCCTATGGGACTATTCAGTTTACCAGTTGTAAAAAGCACTGATGCACTAAATATAAGGAGGACATTATTTGCAATTCGTTATAATTGACTTCAGACATAGTTTCTAAAAAAAAGACAAAAAAGGCAAACCATTATATAGCAAGTATGTAGACTATTTTTAAGTTTGTCGTGTTGAGTGACATTTCAGGTTCCCATTGACTATCCTTTATTATATTTTATCTTTCATACTGGCTTGAATACGGTTAAGCACGTTAACTAATGATTAATCAAATGTGATCTCCTTAACGCAATATGCAACACAAGTATCTTGTTTGCACAGTGGTCTTTTTATAACTTTAAATAATACACATGGGAGAAACGTGTGTGAGGTAACAAGAATTTTAATCTTTCATCTTAACTGCTTTGTTTTACTTATTTGTAACAGCAGATAACACTGCCGGAATGCAGATCCTTCCTAACTGTAAACTTTGGCTTTATTTTCATGATAACACTGAAAACATTTGGTATTTAAAATGTGTTGACTCCGACTCATTTATAAAAGTTAAATATAGACCCTTCGCGTTGACAAGGTTAAAGTGTGTATATCTGATAAAACAAAACAAGCTACAGTAAGTCTCTTTAGTTAACAGTTTTTTTATGAATTAATCCTAATACTAGTAACCGGGTTTTCTGATAAGTGGATCACGTTATCAACTTTAAGATATTTCAAGCATTACTTCATGTTATGTTTTAATCATATCTATACTCACAAAACAGATTCTATGATTATAATCTAATTAGAAAAAAACATAATATTGCAGAATGTTTTAATCATATTTGATAGATTGTCAATTCATCTTATTTGCATATATTAAATGAAGTACCGATATATCAAATAAGAATAGTTATTTTAGTAAGTCCTTTGACAAAATGAATGTGTTAAAAGACAATAATTAACCATTGTTTGTTTTTTCTTAATTAATCATTTTTGTATTTCTGTATACAATTGAAAAACATTCAAACAATATTTTTTATCATCAAAATCAATGGCTCACTTGTATACACATTATCAACAAATACATGTTAATTATATCAAACCATCGAGGGACTAGTAATCTAAGGACTGCTAGCCGAGAGGGGCTCAAATCCCGTCAGGGGCAAGCCGTTGCTTCCTTGAACAAGAATCTTTACACTCATAAGTACTGGTTGGTTCTAGGAAAGGATGCGAGAGTGTTTCAAAAAGTTTAAAGCTTCCAACACAATCAGACTGAAATAAATTCGTATAAACTTATTATTTTTAACTATATAATATTTTGTTTTCATTGTATGTTCATCAGTTGATGTCAGCCATCTTCCCGGAAATAGATGTTTTGTTTGCGAACACGTTGTAGAGCCGGAGTTTTGTAATGTAATAAAGAACTGCGAGGCAGGCCATGTAAGCACAATATTCTGATATACTGAACTTCATTTCTTATGTTTATGAAGAAGTGTAGCATGAAGGCGGTCACTAACATATCTTAAGAGATATTTTAGTACAAATGTATACCTGAACGCTGGTAAAATGCAATCAACACTAGTAAGTCTTTTTTCCAACGTTACATTTAACACTTTTTATAATTTACATTCGTTGTTATGTATTGTTCAATGAGATCATACTTTTTAATTTACATTTGTTGTTATGTATTGTTCGATGAGATCATACTTTTATAATTTACATTCGTTGTTATACATTGTTTGATGTGATCATACTTTTTTTAAATTTACATTCGTTGTTATACAGTCTTGCGGAAAAGAAATCATGTCATTTGGCTCTGGAGTCAGATACAACTTGTTGTGCATCAGGACACAGGTAAGATGTTTTAAAAGCTCTTGACATAGATACACAATCGATTGTTTTTGAGTGAATGTTCTATGATTTATATTTATCCTTATTAACTTTTACAACATTTAATTTTCTAAGGATAATGAGGACTTTTAATAGCCCCATTATGCCTCATTTTATTTCACAAAATCTTTCAAGTTTTGTTTGGTATCTTGTCACAGTTTCCAAAAAATACTCATTGGCTATATAGATGAACCATCTTTGCTTCTTTTGCTTTGTTTGCAGTTGGTGTAATTATAGTGAATATGGTGAATTAATATTTTGTTATTTAATACCTTCGTTGTTGATTTCCATGATGCATTTTATTTATATAATGAAAATGACAATGACAAAATTTATTTGCTTTTTGGCCTCCAGCCCATGTAAAATATATACAACATATTTACAGAGCATAGTAAGTGCATAAAAATTAACATATTAACCATTTAATACAACAAATTATTAATAATATTGTTATTTATAAATATATTGTTGCAACATTTATCATATTATATATTTTGCAGATATTGTTTTCTTTTTTCATATGCATAATACAAAAAAACAGCGATATATAAGGTTTTAGAGGGAGTCTTGATTCAATTATAGCCATATCTTTTGTCATTTACGAAATAAGCACTTTGAATATAAATCGGCCTTTTATATACTAAGCGACCAAGGGTAATTAGAGATATTTCTTAAATCATTTTTTTCTTCAATTTCTTGTTTTAATAAAACCATACGATAAATGATTCATTATGCCAACCTGCTAGCTATTTATTGCGATTATTTGCACTTAGTATATGTCATTGCTAACTATTCAACGCCTACAAATTCATAAAATGGGTACATGTTATGAATGGAATGTAAATATTTCATAATTAGAAACCTTTATAAAGTCATATTTACACCCAAATATTCAAACTCCAAATCTGAAAGGTCGTCTAAGACTACAAAATTGAGAAAAAAATGTGACAGACTCGATTTGATTGAGCCTATTAATGGACACAAGAGTGTGTGTTAAAGATATTGAATGTACAATGAACATTATACGGCCGCAAAGTGCTTATATCGCTTTTCGAATAATTTATAGAAAACGAAGTGAAGTCCAAACATTTTAAAAAGTTGATACTACAGGGACTATGGTTTCCAATATTTGCACACAATAATATGTGTCGTGATAATTCTGCTTCTTTAAAAAATACTTATTTTTTTAAAATTGACATTCTTAGTGTTGTTTTGTTAGCTCTTTGCACATAATTCATTATAATTAACAGTAATAATGCCATTTGAGTCGTGATATTTGCATAGAATCAACTTTTATTATTATTATTATTATTATAATTATTGTTATTATTATTATTATTATTATCATTATTAGTATTATTATTATTTTTATTATTATTATTATCTAGCCATGACAATTAATACATCACTTTTGTAATTATTAATTATAATTAATTTTATCTAGAAATGCGAACTGCTGAATTTAATCCATAACAACAATGGAAGAAGAAAAAGAAATTACCAGCAAATCGGGGCCGAGTGTTGTGATGGACATCTTTGTAACGGATACACGCCCATGAAAATTGGTACATGTATTTCCTAAATCAAAGCATATGACAGCAACAAAGCTGGGATAATAACAATAATAAAGACTTTCACTTTGGCATGGTTATATTTTCTCGGATATTGAGATACAGAGAAAAAAAAATATGACACTCAATATTTTAGAAATGTTCCAAGTATCTGCATTATGACATATGATTGACACATGATTGATCTTGTTACATTTGGAATAACTATTCTTTTAAATATATAACATGAGTCTATAAAGTTATATATTCTCGATCCTGTCAATACTTTATAACATAGGAAATGTAAAATGTTTCACTCGTGATTCTTTTAAATACGTTTAATTTAGCGAAGATTTAATACATATATCACACCTGAGCGAGGAAGCAAACTGTACAATAAACAGATTTTAGCTTTAAAGAAGACTCCCTGTATAATTATGTCATAGTGCATTACTCATTTCAGAATTTCGTGATTTAACAATTCCTCATCCCAGAATTCGTGATTTAACAATTCCTCATCCCAGAATTTCGTGATTTAACAGTTGTAAATGGTATTGTCGTGAAAGAACATTCTTGATATTGCATATAAAATATCAAGCATTTATTTAGTTCCTTTCATTTTTGTCTGACATTTATATAAGATACGCGGGTCTCACTATTTATTTGTGTTGATCCCAACTCAAATTGCACGTTTTTCTTGTTTCACTGTAAGAGGATATCATAAAAATGTTACTTCGTTTGATTGGTTTCACGGCGCACGGCGAAATAGGAACAATTTGATAAACTCGCGTGTTACAAACATAAAACAACACCAGGGGTCAAAACCACTTCACCTGCTGGAGCTAAAAGATACATAAACCCCAGTTATTCGAACCCGTTTAGTCACCTCTTTCGATCACGCAGGGATAAAAAATGGCTGCAATTATTATTCCTCAACCATTTTAGACAGCCCTTTAGCCACAAGGAAAAATGGTGTCACTTTTACAGTTCTTTTATTATATCTGTACCAACACATATTTGGATGCATTCTGAATATACATACTTTTTTTATCAATGATTATAAAATCAATGAGTATGTTGTATAGTTTTGTTAAATGGTGAATATATAATGATTACACCTGTATTGATACTTGTGTTACTGTGTTAGAATGTTTGCATCGATCACTTACTAAAAATACAGATATTATCTCCAGTATCTGTTAAATATCAGCAATGCAACTTTAAAATCAAAATTCTTGATAATGATTTTAAAGAACAGAACAGAACAGAACAGAACAGAAAGTTTATTTTGACGTATACAAAGTACATAGTCAATTACATTAATACATTCATTCATACATACATATATACAATCACAAAATCAATGGATAGTCTGCAAATTTCTTGAAGGTGAACAGTTTAATCTATTTTGTTTCCTTCAGTATAGGATTTGACATAATCAGTTTAACATATATTACATAGTTTAATATTGTGTTACGAACATGTTGACAAAGATAGCGTGAATTTCACATACATTATTGTGCCACTTGCAATAAAGTTATCTATATATATACGTAATCAACACCAGATACAAGTGAATTACCAACTATAGTATCACACTATATACTATATTGAAAGGGAATAGTACTCCAAAACTACAGTTAACCTTAAACGAAACGAAAGGGAAGGTTAACAATTGGCTATTCCAAAAATATTTCAATTGCAAAGTTGTAATTTAAGAAAAAGCCTTACGACTAACTTGGGTCATATGACAAAATAATCTACTTAATACATTTCTTAACTGTGCACAGTCATAAGACATATAACTAATAATCTATTTAATTAGAACTGTACGGTTGACCAGAAACATCCATATAAAGTTTGCTATCTTTTGTTTGGCTTACTTATAATATATTTTCATAACTAAATATAACTCATCATCTATTAAATTAGAACTGTACGGTTGACCAGAAACATCCATATAAACACTATTAAGCGTATAATAAATAACATCTTATTTACAACATCAAACTATAAACATACATATATACAAACTAACACAGTCTGGTTGACCAAAGCAACCATATAAACACTAACCGGCATATAATAAATAGCACGTTCAATATTTCAAGACAATTTTTCACTAATTCGTAATATTAATAATCGAATTTCTTACAGACATTGCGTTTTTACAGTATAACCCTAATTTATAAAGAGCAGTCTTATTTTCTGTTTGTAACAATTCTAAAAACTTATATACACTTGGTTTGATATAATAATATTTTGCTATAATTTTTTTACGTAAATCTGAATAGATAGGGCATATAATAACAAAGTGGTATTCATCTTCTAAATCTAGTGAATGGCAACATTGACAATATCTTTCGTTTCTAGGTAATCTATTTCTGGCAAACCTTCCAGTTTGAATTCTTAGACAGATTTTAAACAGATCATGCTTGTTTATGACACATCTGCGTGTGTTAAAAAATCACACTTTTCGTGTTCAAATGATAAATACTGCTTAAGCCGGTTCTATGGGGTGTAGACAGTAGCTTGTAATTACCACTACCGTCCGTGAACAGGCTGAATCAAACTGAGTCTACAATATTTTTGTATCTTTTTATTCAATTTTGTCGTTTTGGACGTTTTAAAAGATTCACATTTTCTCTGTTTTTTTAAAAGAATCTCCATCGATGAATTCTGCTACGTACAAGTGTCCACCAAGAGGAACCAATTCAAACCCAATTACATCAGGTACACAGTTTATGCTGATTTGAATTTGGTGCATTGTAAAACTAATTTAACGCACCATTGTTTAAATATAGATAGATACATATAAATATTTTAACTGCATTATAAACAGCTTTATTCTATAAACTGGTAGGTTATTTTTCATGAAGAAAATTTACTTGTTGATTCATCTGGTAGATAAATGTTTACAAGCAAGGTTAGAATGCACATGTCCACGTGACTTTTTATTGTCATTAATTATTACAAATGTATTAGTCTCATGATTTTGTATTGTAAATATGCAAACTTGGATATATATTCAATAACACTTGAAACTTGAAAAATAGTACTTATGATGTAGTTAATTAGATAACTGATGCCAGCGTGTTAGTGTTGAAGATTGCATACCGCTTAAATCGGTGCTAGGGGGCGTAAGAGATGTGTGTAATTTTACAACTTCTCACACGAACACAATCAAACCGAGTATGCAATTTGCATGAGTTTATCTTTTATCATATCGCTAGTTATATATAAACAATTTTTTTATTATCAAGAAATTTAAATAAAAAGTAAACTATCGCGTAGTTAATACTCTTCTATGTGTTTTAAGAGTAAACTTACCAATATTTGCATAAGAAAAAAATACAGAATTTTCCAGTTTGAAAGTGGAAACTTTCCCGCTTGCAACTGAGTATAACTAACATTCCAGTTAATCTGCGTATTCATCATGTCAACCAAAGATTGTTCATAACAATTTGATATTTCTTTCTATAATGGTTGACCATTCTTCGTCTATACTTTTCGTGCAAAAAATATTTATTAAATACTTATTTTTTTATTCATGAAACAGCTATACACACAACTGTTGTTACGACTTTACCATCAACATTGTCATCATCATCAACTACACCATCAACAACAACTGCTGTATGTGAAGACATTGATCCTGACTGTGACGCATATCCAGTTGATTATATATGTGTTGGCAACTATAAACTATGGGCTGAGCAACACTGCGCAAAATATTGCAGTTTTTGTGGATCAAGTAAGAGTCCTGTAAAACAGAAGTTGAAGATGAATATCACAGCTTAATAAAAAGCTTTATATTAGCCGTAATGGCTATTGTTGAATATTCTTACGCATTCTTGCACTATTGCTTGCTGCATTAGACTGTGAGATTTGCTGTTCATAAGAATTCTTTTACTGTGCTTAATACAAATAAACCTTGGCACATCTTCTTTTTTAAAATAAATTTCTACTTCGGCGGCTGCTTGTTTCATTTACGTACATTGTCATCACTTTTGTCAGCTTTTTACAGTATATTATTTACAATGAATGACACTTAAAGAATAGTAACAGATGGCTCGTTTATGAATCATAATAAGAATCGTCTTTTGTCAAATATATTTGTAAGTGTCTGGCTTTGAGAGCACCTGTGTGTCAACCTAGAACACGGTCAATCAGAACTAAAAGTATAATAACTTACTTGGAAATCGGAACCAGAATATAGCAATGCTATAACATAATATTTACTTTACTTCTGTTGGTTTTAGATTATCCAAAATTGTTAGAAATTGTGATATAATCTGGAACAATATAGCTTATATTTAAATGTCTTTAGAATTAAAACATCTTTTTATTACTTTTCTTAAATTGACGGCAATAAAATGTCGGATAAGTTTTACTCAAAGTGACGTTTAATATATCTATCTATGTATTACATAGATAATATGTTATATTTTTCTCTTTCCAAACAATCAGGCCAAATAACATTTCTATTATATCAGGTAAATGTTGATCTTATGACTACTGTACAACCGCATGCTTCCTGTAAATGAAAATTTTATTCATATTAAAATCTGTACGACCCTTTTCTCTTCGTATACTTTACAGCAAATTCGTTTACATTAGAGTAAGAAGTCAATTTTATTCAACTATAATATCAATTTCATTTAATTAAGTGGCCCAATTTAAAGTAAGAGGTCAATTTCATTATACTGAAAGGCTAATTGTATTAAACTAAGAGAACAGGGTCGTTGCAATGTAATACATACCCAAGAAAAACAAATCTGGAGAGCAGCAGAGCTTGCTTGTATTGTACTGTTTTTGGTTTACAGGAAGCTCGACGCTGATGGACAATCAAACTTCAAACACCGAACGTATGTTGCTAGACCAGTCACAGACATTATGCATCATGATTATTTTGCATTTATATCTCACATATGCATACTAGGGGGCTGCTATCTGCTTTTGACATATCTATTGTATGTTTTGCGCCATTAAACAATTATAGACGGATTTAATGTGCTTCTTTTTGACATTGTTCATCCAGATGATTTTTTATCTTCTTGGTATTTTATATTTTCAACATAATGTTATCTTAATTTGAGCTACAGTGTTACTTCTGAAAACCGAATACCCATGATACTAGACAAAGCATTAGTATCTTGGAAGTTTACAGAAATCAAGTGATACGTTTATTCAATCTTATTATGACCTATAATTGACTATGTCGATATTACAGTATTAGGTTAATACAATCATATCCTAAATTATGTTTGGTGCTGTTCTAGCAATTATGTAATGATTTTGTTTACTATATACTTCTAATTTTCTTTCTTTTCAACTTTAATCGGATGCTTGACATGCATGACAGGTTGTTATTCTTAAAATAAATAGTCAATGATAATTGTGAGATACTTACAATTTACAGGGTTTTATAATTTGAAGTAGAGTAAACATTTACATCCTTTTCAATTTCCTGATTTTAGAAGTAAAGTTAAATTGATACAATCAAAATGTTATCAGAAATCGTTCGGAATTCAAAATATAGGAGTTCCCTTAGTATTATTCGGATTTCAGAAGTTTGTGGATGACAAAAGTTCCGGAATTCAGGAGTTACACTGAAATTGAAACGTAGTGCTCTATTATTAGATTACATACATTTTTTTATAATTGAAACTGAAGAATGTCTAACCAGTCTAGCAAAAATAGGCTGAACTATTAAAAAAAGTAACTGGTCAATGATTTGTTGTTGTGATATTTTATTGGATTAGCTTTTGAAACAAACTGACATCTTAAATACTGTACGACATGGAACTTTGCGTTCGTTTTTTACTAGAAATATTTTGTCTGAATATATTTTGGTCAACTTCAACCATACTTTTTACAACAGCAGCAAGATTATAAGAAAATCTTCCTAAGTGTTTATAAGACAATTTGATACCGGCACAATATTTTTGGATAAATGATTATGAAAAACTTCAGACAAAAGTAGAATCCAATGTATACATGTAGCAAATAAAACAAGATATCAGGAAAAGGTATTCAAGAATTATTTATTTACATTTATTAGACTTTGTAAAAACAATATTGTATTCATTATCTGTAATTTCTTTTTTTCATTCTAATTGGTGCTTATATGTAGAAAACCTAAACCATTCTTAGTGTATTCAAGTCTAATATCATTTGTGTGTATATAATTGTGCTAATAATTTAACTCCTTGTTCTGGACAATTGTGAAGTAAATTAAAATTGCTGTGATATTACAATTTTATAGTATATGTATTCACATACTATGTATTCACATACTTTAAAAGATATTTATGACCTTTGGTACAGTAATTCAGTAGTAAGTATCTCGCGTCATTTAATTCAAGCTTACACATTTTCTGGACATCATGGTCTGGTGGCAACTTTAAACAAATTTTCTTGAAAGTTATCAAGTTAAATGGTTGTATGCGAAGAACATCAGATATGACGTAAGATATACAACACATCACGCTGTCCATTATAAAAGTTGTTACATGATAGATATTGGACAAACAGATTAATATTGGACAACTGCATGTACTGTACTAATGCAGAAAAATTGAGATAATAGCAGTTATTGAAGATAATAGTATAAAAACAACATTTGATGAAACAGACCCTGAATATTGATGGTACGAGCAAAAGTTGAGTCCTTTTCTAATGCAGCTTGTTTACAGTGGCCCTGTTGATGTTTTCAAAAATTATATATTCATTTAGAAACTTTTTAATATTTTTTTTGTGTTTGTTGATGGTTTTAATATTTACTATACTTATAGTTATACCTTTTATCGCACAAAGACAGCACCGACGGTATTGGTAGTAATATTTTACTCTATTCTTAAATAAGGAACGCAATTAATGTCCAACATTGTCCCAAGTTTAATATTTTGTCATTATTTGCACCCTGTAAATGAATGCTGACATGTTTTTTCTTATAATTAACTACTCCAGGTATGAATTTAATCGAATATTTCACATTATGATTAATGTCATGTTAAAGTAATTTACTGGTTTTATAAAGTTTGTTAACTTGAAGTCAAAACTTGTAAGTAACAATCTAGTATGGTCATCTTTAAATAAATTTTCGGTATCTAATTCATGAAAGTGATTATTACTTTAATCTGAAATTTTAACTGATAATGTATTCCGAAATTTCATTCTAAAGAATCATGTATTTATTTATTTAGCATTTGATATTACATTATACTAAAATAAAAAGAACAAAATATGCGTCTACTTATTCCAGCAACATTAAGGACAACACAACCACCCGCTGTGTGCGAAGATTTAGATCCAGATTGTGCGGATTATGGTCATGACTACATATGTAAAGGCAACTACATACCCTGGTCCACCATTCACTGCAATAAATTCTGCGGCTTCTGTATTGGTGAGAAACATTTTCTTACGCTTCACGTATTCTTCACATCAGATGCATGCAATATTTGATCACCTTTCCATTCACTAGACTTTTTTTTAATGATTACATATTTTTAACTTAAAATTGCACTGAAACGTCTGAAAACTGAAAAGTCTGTGAGTTGTATATCATCAAGAAAATCATTAATCCGGCAATTGAAGACACATTTTTTATTTTTAAATATCACAAAAGTATTTTACATATAATTTGTATACTGTATTAAAATACAATATGCCCTCATTTGCAATAACCGTAGCTAATATGCACTGTGCACCTTATCATGACTTTTTGAATTCTGGAAGCATTTGATATCATAAAGAACTTACAAAGGTCTGTTTATATGTCATAAATATTTTTGTTTGTAATTTTGATTGAAATTCAAAAGGAGTTCAAATATATATTTAACTTAAAAATATGCTTTTTTATTTGAAATAGATATCATTTAGCTCATTAAATTTCGCAAAAATGTTGTATCATATTTTTTCCCTGGATTTTAGGAACCAGTTCACTGAATACGACAACTCGGATAACGACAACACATTCGTCAACCCTACCATCAACTACAACAGTTACAGTGTCTACTTTGAATATAACAACACCAATAAAAATATTAACCTCCACCACCACAAATCTTACAACTGCGGAAACCAAAACAAGTCCTAGCGCAACAACATCTTTGCCTTCAACAACATCGTTTTCCATGATGATATCAACACCACAAGTGGCTGATGCTACAACTTCAACTACAAACATAAATACTACAACAGATTCAACTACAAGCATGCCTACTTCATCAACGCCTGCCACAACAATGCCAAGTACAATAAGAACTAGCAACATGCCCACTACAACAATTACTCAAATCATGCCAAATACAACTGCACCCAAAACAACAACGACCATTATAACAACATCCACTTCAACCATGCCCTCTTCAACAACCTCCCATACAAAAACAACCCCTTCAACAATAAGCAATAGCTACATGCCCGCTTCAACAAGTACTCAAACTATGCAAAATACAACTGCACCCACAACAACCATACCCTCTTCCACAACGTCCTCTACAAAAACACCCGCTACAACAACTTTTTCTACAACAGTACCCTCTACAAGCATGTCCTTTACACTGACATCCCTTATAACAAAGCAAACTACAAATATGCCCTCTATAATAAAAACAACAACTATGCCAACTACAACAGCTGCTACTGAAACAACGCAAACTACAGATATGCCCTCTACAACAAGAACAACAACAATGCCGACTACAACAACTCCTATTAAAGCAACGCAAACTACAAATATGACCTCTACAACAAGAACAACAACAATGCCAACTACAACAACTCCTACTGAAGCAACGCAAACTACAAATATGCCCTCTACAACAAGAAGAACAACAACAATGCCAACTACAACAACTCCTACTGAAGCAACGCAAACTACAGATATGCCCTCTACAACAAGAACAACAACAATGTCAACTACAACAACTCCTATTAAAGCAACGCAAACTACAAATATGACCTCTACAACAAGAACAACAACAATGCCAACTACAACAACTCCTACTGAAGCAACGCAAACTACAGATATGCCCTCTACAACAAGAACAAAAACTATGCCAACTACAACAACTTCTACTGAAGCAACGCAAACTACAAATATGCCCTCTACAACAAAACAACAACAATGTCAACTACAACAACTCCTACTGAAACAACGCAAACTACAGATATGCCCTCTACAACAAGAACAACAACAATGCCAACTACAACAGCTCCGACTGAAAGAACGCAAACTACAAATATGCCCTCTACAACAAGAACAACAACTATGCCAACTACAACAACTCCTACTGAAACAACGCAAACTACAGATATGCCCTCTACAACAAGAACAACAACTATGCCAACTACAACAACTCCTACTGAAACAACGCAAACTACAAATATGACCTCTACAACAAGAACAACAACAATGTCAACTACAACAACTCCTACTGAAACAATGCAAACTACAGATATGCCCTCTACAACAAGAACAACAACATTGTCATCTACAACAACTCCTCCTGAAAGAACGCAAACTACAGATATGCCCTCTACAACAAGAACAACAACTATGCGAACTACAACAGCTCCTACTGAAACAACGCAAACTACAAATATGACCTTTACAACAATTGCAGAAATTACAACGCAAACTACAACCATGCCCTCTACAACAAGTACTACAACCATGCCCTCTATTTCCAGTATTACAACCATGTCAGCTTCACCAACGCCTACTTCAACAAGAACTACAAACCTGACCACTGCAATAACGCCAGCTACCAAAACAGCATCCACTACTCAGTCTTCAACAACACCGCCGTCATATATGTCAACGACAACAATGAAAACTACAACACTGCACACTGCAATTATGCCCAACGCAGCAGGCACTAAAACCATGAATACAACAGAAATGCCCACTGTAAAAACAACTAATACAAGCTCTGCTTTAAGTATGCCAACTACAAATGTGCACACTACAACCATGCCTAATAAATCAGCACCCGAAACTATGTCTCCAAGAACAATGTTCACGTCATCTATGCCCATTACAACAACACCTTCAACAAACATGCCAACAACAACAATAAACAATACAAACTTTCAAATATTAACAAATTCAACAACAACTGTAAGTACTGCAAATTCCACTACAAACATGTTCACAACAATATCCCTTATAGCCATGCTCACTAGACAAGCAAGTAGTACATTAATGCCTATAACAACAACGGGTAACGAAAAAATAATTTCTGCAAACACAAGTACAACAATTAAACCCCTTACTTCATCGTCATCAAGAAACGTGCCTACTACCACAACGTCAACAACAATTTTCCCCACAATAACAGCGTCTCGAAGAACATTTTTAACTGAAGCAAGTACAAAAAACATGTCAGCGACTACGTCACCGTCCACTACAAAAATGCCAGTCAAAATAACCTCTGCTTCAACAATACCCAGTACAACAACGAACTCTACAACCATATCTACCCCAGAACAATCCAACACAACGTCTTCACAGGCAGGCATCTCAACCATTACTATTCCTATAAAAACAGCAGTTACTGTAACAACACCCTTTATATCTGATTCAACTAACAAATCTACCACAGCCCCGATGTCCATCGCAGTTTCATCTACGCGTTCTTCCGCAACTAATCCAGCAACAATCTTCAATACTACAATTCTGCCAAACATGACAGGAACTTTACAAGGTAACACAATCTCGGGTTTGGTGTTTCTCTATTTTTGCTAAAACTAAACGTGGTATCATTCTTTATGAAATGTTATGTGATTTTCTAATTGTTTGAAACATGCCCTTTAAAATAATAAAATAAACATTAATTTTTTTTCAGCATCTTCAGTTTCATCATATGAGTTTTTGAAATAAAAAAAGAAAGAAAACTAAATGAGGCATTATCGTACGTAACTCTGAATAGAAAGCCTACAACATTACATTTTATTCAATCATTCAAAGCAGTATAGATAGTACTATTCATTGTAATGAGGCAATAAGTATTTACCTTAGAGTTTGAGCAAAATATAAAACGTTTTACTTCAATCGTGTTACACCAATAATTTCCCATCTTTTGTAAATAGAAAATTTGACTTGTGTATTTTTCATGTTTTGATAAATGGTATTGAATGCCTTCCGTACAAAGTGTAAGACATAGAAAATATTTTATAAAATGTTACCTTTGCATTCCTTTGTCTACTTTTCAGATCAGGTTTGTGGCAATGTGTTGATAGACTGTGATAAGTACGCAGTCGAATTATGTACTGACCTTGGTCAAACAGAATGGATGTGGGACAACTGTAGGGGATACTGCAAAATGTGTTTACGTGAGACCTCTTCTTATATTTAAAAAAGATATATAATTTTTATCACTAAAATAGATAGGTTTTGATATCTTAAATCTTTGATTTTACTTTTGAAAGCCTTATTTTTGCTAGTAGACTAAGACGTTTGTATCTGACAGCAACCAGTTCTTTGGACTGTAACTTGCATATTCTGTACCGTCCATGAACAAGCTCTGCAACATTTTCAATTTTGCCGTGTTTGTTTTCTCTTGTGATTCTTTTTTTCTTTATCGAGCAATCTAGTTTAAAAAAATTCAATATCTCGCCGCATTTCGCCATGGTTTTGAAACAACGAGAAATATTTTTTTCTTAATGATTACATCTTACATACTATAAGGTATGAACATACAATTTTGATATCAGAAACTGAATACTTAAGGTTTTCTTCTACTAAGATTCCGTTTTTATATTTACAGAAAAAAGACCGTGTCTAGATTACCATCCTGATTGTGCCAGCTTAAAGGACACGATTTGCAGTGATCCTGTTAAGAGTTTGGAATGTAAAGATACCTGTGGTATTTGTTAATGCAAAACAAACTTTAAATATTGGGTTTTTGAGCGTTGTTTAAAGTGTGAAAATAGGTTATTTTTTTCAATAATTTTGGTTGTCATTTCATAATAATAGCATTGTTTTGTTTTGATCGTAAGTTATTCTTAATCACTCACATCCCCATCACAACATTTTTGGCATACATGTATTTCTATAATCCACTAACATTGAATACTTAGCAATACACTTTTCTGAAAAACATAAGCGTATGTCCTTGGAATATCTGTTGCAATATTCAGATAATATTCTGTGTCTGATATTCATTTTTGCAACCTCTTAATTTTGAAATAAATTGTTAAAGCAGTATGCCTCCAGAATAATGCTAATGCTTATAAAATTTCAGAAACAAAATATTGTGAAGTGAACAATAGAAAATAATTAAGACAATAAAACGGCATTTAAAGTCTATACAAACAACCAAAAATATGTCTGAATATACAAAAATAGCTCTTAGTGCGTTAGGCAAACATTAGAAATATTGTAATAATTACTGCAAAATCAGCCATAAATCGCAAATCATGTACATCATTATTTGAATGAATATTGAATCATTGCTTTTCTTCATATCTTGGTACATTTATCTCAAGTTTGATTTTGTTTAGAAATATTTTGGCTCATCTGGCTGGAACTCTGCAGCTTTAATACTGTTTCATGTCGTTATACCAAGATAAAGGATTTTAGGTTACCAAATATCTTCAAAAATCATTATAAGAGTGTGCGCAGGTTTTTGACCCAAAACCTGTCAACTGTTTTACTTGCCCTGATTTGAAATTGGAACAGTACATGGAATTTTAAGGGATATTAATATCAAAATACATAAAGAGCTACTTATACCAACAGGCCTAGTGAAACTGCACGGCTGCACTTGTTGACCCGGCTCTATGCTGGTGACAGAGGCTGATCAGTTAAGTTCTAGCATATTAAGGATCATCTGGTCTGTATTAAGAACATTGGAATTCACGTTTATAGCTTTCCCCGACCCTTTTACGTAAAAACGCATACTGTACATATTAACATTTAAAGGGATTTTGTTCGAATTTTACTTATGAGATACACTTTCATTCGTACAAAGATTTTTTGTGATTGACATATACTATGTCAGTAATATAATCAACATTCTATGTTTAATGGTTTATTTTCTATGTGAAATTAATTTTTGCATCAAAAGACAAATATAAGATAAGATAAGATCTATTTTTGCATAATATACATACATAGTTATACAACATAATTATGGAGTGAGACATAAAGGAAGTGAGACATAAAATAACATATACATGAACACAAAAACCACGACAAACATACCAACACCAGGGATAACACAAAAACCACGACAAACATACCAACACCAGGGATAACACAAAAACCACGACAAACATACCAACACCAGGTATAACACAAAAACCACGACAAACATACAAACACCAGGTATAACACAAAAACCACGACAAACATACAAACACCAGGTATAACACAAAAACCACGACAAACATACAAACACCAGGTATAACACAAAAACCACGACAAACATACAAACACCAGGTATAACACAAAAAACCACGACAAACATACAAACACCAGGTATAACACAAAAACCACGACAAACATACAAACACCAGGTATAACACAAAAACCACGACAAACATACAAACACCAGGTATAAACACAAAAACCACGACAAACATACAAACACCAGGTATAACACAAAAACCACGACAAACATACAAACACCAGGTATAACACAAAAACCACGACAAACATACAAACACCAGGTATAACACAAAAACCACGACAAACATACAAACACCAGGTATAACACAAAAACCACGACAAACATACAAACACCAGTTATAACACAAAAACCACGACAAACATACAAACACAAGGTATAACACAAAAACCACGACAAACATACAAACACCAGGTATAACACAAAAACCACGACAAACATACAAACACAAGGTATAACACAAAAACCACGACAAACATACAAACACCAGGTATAACACAAAAACCACGACAAACATACCAACACAAGGAATAACACAAAAACCACGACAAACATACCAACACCAGGGATAACACAAAAACCACGACAAACATACCAACACCAGGGATAACACAAAAACCACGACAAATATACCAACACCAGAGATAACACTAAAAGGGCAAACCCTTATTTTCATTGCGGTCCATAAGTGTTGACGGCATGACATTAATAGGCAATGATAATACTTGATGGAAAATATCACAGAAAATATCACAAAGAACAGTTCCACTCACATGTTATCACATGTGCTTAGTATTATGTTGATATTATTTCAAAGAAACTCTAGACCCGTTTATTTATTCGGTGTTTTCGTGCTTTGTAAAAATTCATTTGAGAAAGGTGGTTTGAACATATTGTAAATTAGGGTTATATAATACGTTATGATGAAAAACTATTTTCTATAGACCGAATGAAATTGAGATACGTGAATTGCAATTACAAAATGGGAATCATTCTGGTGGCATCCTATAAAGGTCCAAACACTTCCCGTTTGGAGTCTAACATTTGAAGCAAAGATCAGCAACAAATCTTCTACATAAATGTATTTTACTGTATCATTTTAAGCCATTCTTTTGCACATATTTGGCTAATTCTAAGGAGGTAAAATCTGCTTAATGTATTAACAAAACGGACATTTATATCTAATTCTCTTTTGTTCCAAAGTTTGATTTATTTACGAAACGTTTCGAAAGATGGTATCTACCCCTAGCTATGTCGTTTGCTCAATATTAGGGAACACATGAATCAATAACGAAATAGGCCAATGTTATGTTGATAAAATCTATTAGTACTTTATATACGTTCGGTCTTTGCAAGAGACATATTTAGATATCACTAACAAAATGTTTAAGTACAGAAGGTTACTAACTATGTTCAAAACGTTGTATAATGCTTATCTAAGTATTTGAGTTTTATAATAGGTGATTGTCAAGTCTAAACAAAATATATTAAAAGACAAAAAACAATCAAAACAAGACAAACAAACGAAAAATGACCGTGGGGCGTGATTTAAAGAACAAACGTTCAGGCCACGGTGGGATTACAATTCAAAACAAAACTCACAGAAAGGCTTATAGCCAGATGAACATTGAACACGCTTATGCCTCAAGCAGTTTTACAACATTATCTAAATTATCTATTTAAAGGTAATGAAATTATCAGGTATCCAATTAATAGCAAGTATATGGCAAGTCAGTGCAACAATATATTAAAGTCAAGTCAAGTCCAATTTCCTTTATTACACACATTTCATGTTAACATGAAATAAATGTGGCTGATAATAATTACAATGTTAGTAGAGGCTCTTTGAACATATACAAGGTATATATAATTATAGCGATAAAATAATTCGTACAAGCATATTACAAAAACTACAAATTGTTCTTAGTTAATAAGTTTACAACATTAAACCGTAGTCAAATTAATTAGACACTCTAGGAGATTCATTCATATTACCATTTTTGTACCAACATCAAAATATATGAAGATGATAATAATTACAATAAGAAGAAGAAATGAATAAAGATTTAATAACTGACAAGTGATGTAGATTTATATACGTCTCAATATTCTAAGAATTTGTTGCCATACTGTTAACATGCACATAATTCCTATAGATGTTCAGTTTTAGAGCAAAAAAAAAAAAAAAGAATAGATATTGGAAGAATGTACTATTGTCTTTTTATTTGTTGTGCTAATTAGAAATGACAGCTTGTGATGCATTTCTTTCACAATAACTATTGAGAAGTACATGGTTTAAAGCAATACTTTTCAAAGACAAGAGCATTTCAAGTATCAATTGTGTGAGCATATATTCCACAAACCAACACTTTACACTAAAAATATAAATGCATTTTAAAGGCGCTTTTTACATTTTTTCATATGCATATAGACATATAGTGTTTCATAGGATAAATCTTAACCTTAACATTCTTACTATATACTAGCATAATCAATATTACTATATACTAGCATAATCAATATTAAGGGTCATCTTTTGAGTTATCTGCCATTGTCTGTTGAGTTTTAATATGATTTTAGAAAATTAAATTGTCCTTAGTGGAACTTGTAATGTTATGAGAGTAAAACCGAGTCTTGAATATTTTAGAAGGTACATTTTATAAGTCGCAACAACACATCATTGATTGCTCTACATATCAAAGTTAATAATTGCTTTCGTATTTAAAAAAACCACAACAAAATTTTGCAACATTCTTTACTGTCTATAATACTCTCTAACTTCGAAGTTATCAAAAAATAGTTCCTAACACAAATAACAATGCTGTTTATTTGAATATATTGAACTTAGAAATATAGTCTCAGTATAAGATGTTTCAGCAATTACAACTTAATTTCACAATTTAAAGCTTAAAAGATGAATCCTGCATATGCTGGTGATATGGTGCGTAAAAGGTAGCTTGTAAAAACCGCTATCGTCCATGAACAGGCCTCAATCAACGAGAACCTGTACATGTTTTGATTTGCCGGAGTTTTTTTTTTGTGTTCTTTAAGGATTCCGTTTTCTCTTTTTTACAAAAAGAGGAGAGCCAAGGTATCATTCATCTTAAAATTTTGACCTTTCTATTGTTACATAAGCTACTTGAGTCACATTTTTTATGTAATATTTTTTTATGTAATATTTGATGTTGGTATAAAAAGGCTATAACAAGCATTTATCACTATTTCGTCGATGACAATCTTGCAGCTAGACGGTATAAATTTCTTTCTTTTTCGAAACTTTAATACGTTAATCTAAGACGCATAACCATAATTTAAGCAAGCATAAACGGAAAATGAATAATTGTGAGATAGAAATAGACTATGCTAGACAGTCATTCCGAGTCATCAGAAACCCATCGGTTTTATGCTCAAAGGAGACAACAATGCTATCACCGTACCCAAAATTACTTCATGGAGAAGGTTTTCA